TATTTTGTAAAACAATTTTAAAGAAATTCCTCGAAAAATGTAATTACTTTAAAAAATTTCTTGCAAGAATTCAATCACATTTCACAAATAATTAATTTCTTCGCTGAAATTTAAATTTTTTTGAAAATCTACTATTTTAATCAAATTTCTTAAATGAATCCAATATTAAAAAAAAAATGTAAGAATTTATTAAATAAATGAATGTTTATCAAAATTTAATCCTCATAAAGAATTTTATTGCAACGAATTTTTCAATATAATTGAATTTTTTCGACGAATTTTAATAAAATTTCCAATTATATTTTTCGAGGCATTCGATTAAAATTGTATGAAAAATAATTGAAGTTCTATGATGAATTTTTTTATTTATGAAAATAATTGAATCTCGGTAAAAAATTTTTTATTATTTTTGCAAGTAATGAAATTTTTCACATGAATTCAATTATTTTGAAAAAAGTAATAAAATTTGTTGTAAGAATTCAATTACATATTTTCATAAATAATAAAATTTCTCATAGGATTTCAATTATTTTGTAATACAATTTTTAAATAAATTCCTCGAAAAATGTAATTATTTTCAAAAATTTCTTGCAAGAATTTAATTACATTTCACAAATAATGAAATTCTTTGCTGAAATTCAAATATTTTTGAAAATCTACTATTTTAATCGAATTTCTTAAATGAATTCAATTATTTAAAAAAAAATGCAAGAATTTATTGAATAAATGAATGTTTATCAGAATTTAATCCTCATAAAGAATTTTATTGCAACAAATTTTTAAATATAATTGAATTTTTTCGACGAATTGTAATAAAATTTTCAAATACATTTTTCGAAGGAATTTAATTAAAATTGTATGAAAAATAATTAAAATTCTATGATGAGTTTTTTTATTTATAAAAATAATTGAATACTCGGTAAAAGAATTTTATTATTTATGCAAATATAATTAAATTATTGTCAAGAAATTTATGAAAATAATTTAGTGTTTGCTTAGAATTTTATCAACATTTTTTTTTTAAATAATTAAAATCTTTTGAAATTACGGAAAATTTTTGAATAAGTAATTGAAATTTTGCAAAGAATTTTATGAAAATTTTTTGAAAATAATTAAATTTTGGCGAAGAATTTTATTATTTATAAAAATAATTGAATTCTTACAAAGAACTTTATTTAATTTATTTTTTTTATAACTAATTAAATTATTGAGAAGAATTTTATGAAAATTGTGTTTTATATAATTGAATTCCTGTGAAATTTTTATTATTTATGAAAATAATTTAATGTTTGCTTAGAATTTTATCAACACTTTTTTTTAAATAATTGAAATCTTCTGAAAAATTTTATGAAAATAGTATATATATTAAAAAATGATTGAATTGAGGAAATTTTTTGAAAATAATTGAAATTTTGCGAAGAATTCCATTACTTTTAAAAATAATTGAATGTCTACAATCATTTGTATTTTCTTTTAAATTCTTTCCAGTACTTAAATAAAAATTTGTTTCACATTCAAATTATTGCAAAATAAATCAAAAAATATCTTATTTACAAATCCATTAATATTAGTTGTCTGACCATAATTTACTTTTACTACTAATTCAATTTGAAATAATTCAGAACTAATTTGTCCGACTAAAACCGATAGTTTAATTACATTAGTTGTCTGACTGTACTCGACTCTTACTACTAATTTAATTTACAATAATTTAAAAATATTTGTCTGACTATAACTGACCTTTACTACTTGATTTTATTTCGAAACCATTGATATTAGTTGTCTGACCATATCATTGACTTTTACTACTGACTTCTTAATTTGCAATAATTCAGAATTGATTAACTAATAAACTAATTTTTCTAAAGTAAAAGTCGATTTTAGCCTAGAAATTAGTTTTGAATTATAGAAAATTAATTCAGTAGTAAAAGTCAATGATATGGTCAGACAACTATTATCAATGGATTCTAAATAAAATCAAGTAGTAAAGGTCATTTATAGTCAGACACTTTTTTGAAAATTATTATCTATTAAATCAGTAGTAATAGTAAACTACTGTCAGACAACTATTATATAAATAGATTGTAAATAAAATCCAGTAGTAAAAATCTTTAGTCACAGGAAATAATTAAAATTTTTTTGTAAGTTACGAATAAGTAGTAAAAATACGTTTTAAGTCAGACCAAGACTTTTAATTTGTCTCATTTGCACCTAAGTAGTAACTGAGCGTTTTTAGTCAGACAAAAGTGCGTTTTTTATATACTTCATGCTACTGTAAGTAGAAAAACAATATTATCTGTCAGGACACCAAGAGAATTATTATTATTACCAAAAGAATTTATTGTCGTATTCCAGTAGTATAAGTCACTGTTAAGTCAGGCATGCTTTAATAAAATAAAACCTAATCCTTGCAGTGGAAATAATATATAAGATTAAAAAAATTACAAATTAATTAAAAAGTTCACGTTTCAACGGCCTCTTGACATTTTTCTCAAGGCCAAATTAAAAACCGAAAATAAAATAAAGAACAAAATAAATTAAATGCCAACACGTTGATTTACTTTTTCTTACTTTTTATTTCTAACTTCACTGAAGCGTTTATTTTTTAATTAGTATACTCTTATTTATTCTTACCTTTTTTTTCTTTTTTCTTAACATATATATATATATATATATATATATATATATATATATATATATATATGTGATCATTAAAATTAATTCATTTTAATAAAAAATTTATTATTTTTACCCTTTTTTTATTATAATCAATAATTTATATTACAATAAAAAATTCTTTAATATTATTTATTATTATAAAGCCCCATTTAGTGAGAATAAATAAATAATATTATTTAATAAAGCAATAAATACTATGATTTAATAAATAAAGAACATTATTTTCTTATAAAAAAGATAGTTTTCAGATAAAAAATTTTTTGTTACTTTTGTCTAAAAAAAAAATTAATAAACGAAGTAAAAGTATCTTTTTTTTCTCCAAGACAAAACATTTCTCCTTCATTATTGACAGCGATTAAAGAAATTAAAAAGTTTTAAGTTCCAAACAAGTAGCAGTACTAGTAGTAGTAGTAGTAGTAGTAGTAGTAGTACTAGTCATGCATGGGTCAGACAAACTTTTTAAAAGAATAATTACTTTGAAGGGACGTCGTAGATTCGAGAGAGTTGTTCTACTTTTAGTATCGACCTCGAAACGTTATCACTCATCCTGCTTTTGTACCTTTGTTTAAAACTTTTCACAATTACAAAATTTTATATTTGTCTCTCTATTATAATTGTTATTGAATTTGTTATAATTAAAATTTATCAATTTTGTCAAGCATTTCGTCTTTTTAAATATTTATAATAATTTATTAATTTTTTTATCTTGTAAAAATTAGCGCATTATTATTTTATTCCACTAATGAATAGTTATAATTTTAACATTATTATAATTAAAATCAAAAAAATTATTACAATCAAAATCAAAATATTATTACAATTAGAATTATAATTTTATTATAATTGCAATTATAATTTTATTATGATTGCAATTGTAATATGTTATTTCAATTAAAATTATAATATTATTATAATTAATATTACTATACTGTATTATAAAAATAATATTAAAATTATAATTTTCTTCGCCAATAAAATTGTATTTATCTTTTTTAGTAGTAGAAGATAATTTTAGTAAGACTGAAATTTTTTTTTTAATTTTTATTTATTTTAAAGTAGTAAAGACCTATTATAGTCAGACAGAAGTTTTAAAGAAATTTATCTTTCTTATTAAGTGGTAAAAGATACTTTTAGTCAGACATAAGTGTTAAAAAAATAATCTTGTAAAAAATAAGTAGTAGAAGGTAATTTTTGTCAGACTGAAGTATTTTTAAAAATTTGTATTTATTTTTAAGTAGTAAAGAAATTTTATTTTAAAGTAGTAAAGACCTATTATAGTCAGACAGAAGTTTTAAAGAATTCAATCTTTCTTTTCAGTAGTAAAAGAACAATTTTAAGGCAGAAGTTTTTAAACGATGTACTACTAGTTTACCATCAGTAGTAAAAGACATTTTTTGTCAGACTGGAGTTTTAAAAAAAATTTTGTCATTTTTCCAGTAGAATAGGTCAACTTTTTTCCCGTAGAATTTGAAATCAATTATTTTTTTTAAGTATTAAAAAAGTCACTTTTGAGTTGGACCTGCATTTTGAAAAAATTTTCGAAAAAAAGGAAAATTAAAAAGAAATTTTAAAAGAAAATTTACTATCAAGCAGGAGTTAATATTTTTTCAGTAGTATTTAAGATAATTTTAAGTCAGACCTTATTTTTAAAAAAATTTCTCGTTTTTCCAATAGTAGAGTTCAATATTTTTCTGTCAGAAGTTTAAAGCAATTTTTTTTTTCTTTTAAGTAGTAAAAGTCAATTTTGAGTCAGGCTGAAGTTAAAAAAATATCTTTATTTAAAAATTTTTCCAGTAGTAATGTCAATTTCGATCAGACTAGATTTTTTAAAAAATATTTTTTATTTATTTCTAGTTAGTGAAGACCAACTATAGTCGGACTTCTTAAACAATTCACTGTTTTTTTTTAAATTTTTTATTTTCCTTTTTTTAATAGTGAAATTAACGAGTAGTGAGCTGCAATTTTGGTCAGACTAAAGTTTTTAAAAACAGATTTAAATTTCCTCTTTGTTAGTAAGACAAATTACGATAAGAAAATTTTTCAATACATTTAAAAATTTTCTTACTGTAATTTGTAATAAATAATTATTGTAATTCACGGTTTTTAAGTAGTAAACAATAAATTTAGTCAGACATAGATTGTAATTGAAAAAATCACAGTTTATCCTGTCTGACCATATCAAAACTCGTACTACTTAAATATTATCCAACATTGAAGGAAAAACCTTTTTTATTCCTTTTTCGCAATAAACAAATAAATATATTCGATTTTTTATTTTATAATTTAATACGAAGTTTAAAAAAATTTTTTTTCTGTTGCAGAATGATAACGGCGTTGCCAGTACCTTCGGTGAAGGTTTTTCACAAAACTTACTATCAGGAAAAGGGTTCGAGGATAGGAAGTAGTCAACCTGGAAGTCCATTAGCCGATAGTGAAGCAGTTGTTGCTTTAGTCGATAAAGAGCCACCAGAGTACTATTTTTGTGGAAAGGTAAAGAAAAACATTTTATCGTCTCAAATTAACGTTGAAAAAAAAAATTTTGAGTTTTAACCTCAGAAATACAAAAAAAGTAAAGAAATTCAAAAAATTTATTTTCTCCAAATCCAAACAAATTTAAATCCTGTAGTTTTAATAATTTTTAGTATTTAGAAACTCCTAGTTTTTTACTAGTTTTTTACTAGTTTTTTTACTAGTTTCTTCTAGTACTTTAAAATTTTTAACCCTTTCAGTACTTTTTAAGAAACTTTAATAATATTTTCATTACTTCAAATATATTTTTTTTTATTTATTTCTTTATTCATTTATTTATTTGTTTTTAAATATTTTCCAAATAAGTTCAAGTACACTCGGTATTTTTTTTCTTTCGCTCATTTTTAATAGAATACCTACTTGTATGAAAATATTAAAAACAAAGTTAGTGTGACCTTTAAATGAATTATCCTCGCACACAAAAAAAAAAAAAAAAAAACTGGATGAACAAAAATGATTGAAGTAATTTTATTTTTATTCATCGTTTATATAGAAAGAAAATATTTTAGGGAATATAATCAATAAACAAACCATTCTCTCGCGACTCTTTAGTTGAGTTCACATAATATTCAGGAGCATTCGACCATTTCAAAATAAAAAAAAAAAAAAAAAAAAGTGCCGAGAGATTCACTTTTTTTTATTTATTTCTTTTTAACCTTGAAACGGATAACTCTCTACATTTTATAAGTGGCTGTCGATTCTGAAAAGAAATAATATCTCGCCAAGCATTTTTGCGCCTCGATTCTTAATAAAGCTTTACATATTTTATATATATGTACAATAAAAGTCTATTTGATTTCAAAAAAACATTGATTGCGTTTTTTAAAAGTATTTTTAAAATTAAACTATATTGAAAATTTATAATATTTAAAATTTTTTATTTTTTAAATTAAAAAGAATATATATTAATAAAAATTTTTTCATAATTTTTAATAAAACAATATTAGAAATTAGAAAATTTAAAAAAAATTATGATTAACAAATATAAAATATATTGTTAATTAATTGTTAAAAAATTTTTATTAAGAAGTAGGAAATATACCCATTTTATGCATAATTTTTATTTCTCAATAACAATATTGTTTACAAACTCATTTTTTTTCTTTTGGGAAGAAAAACATTAGATATCCCCCATTCCTTAATATTTTTGTAGAAAATTCTCAATTTTTATAAGGAAATAATTTGCATCAATTCTATTTCTTAATTTCAATTGTTTTAATAAAATTCAAAATTTTTTAACAATAAAGGAAAAAATTGTTTATAAATTATATTTTTAAATTAGAAAATTTAATTGAAAATGAAACTGAAAGTTTTTAAATTTTTAGAAAAGAGAGAAAAAATTTTATTGAAAAAAATGTATTCTGTTAAATTTATTTACAAATATCTTTAATTGTAAAATTATTCCATAACAAATAATTTCTTTTCTAAATATTTTAAATATTTAGTTATTATTATTTTTCCATGGAAATTAAAATTCTTCAAAATATTCAAATTCAACCCTTTTTGAAATAAATCAACTTTAAAAATATTGTTATGAAACATGAAGAAATAATTGAAATTCTACAACGCTTTAATACTTTTAATATTTAATTATTATTTAAAATTTTAAATAAAAATTTATTTCAAATTCAAGTTTTACTAGAAAATTCTACGAGAATTCAATTATTTAAATGCAAAAATAAATAATTTATTGAACAATTGAATGTTTCTTAAAATTAAGAATTTTGTTATTTATGAAAATAATGGAATTTCAGTAAAAATTTTTAATATTTATGAAAAAAATTAAATGTTTGCGTTCAATTTTATGAAAATTGTTTTTTAAATAATCGAATTCTTTTGGGTATTTTTATTAAAATAGTAGATATTGAAAATCATTGAAATGAGGAAATTTTTTTAAAATAATTGAATTTTGAAGAAGAATTTTTTAATTTATAAAGATAATAATTAGTATTTTGTCGAGATATTTTTGTAAATTTTAAACATAATTGAATTTCATAATTTAATTTCTTTTCTAAATCAACTATATATATTTTTAATCATTTTTGAAAAAGTTCTTTAAGAATTTGCAAATACATTTGTTTAAAATTCGAATTTTTACGAAATTTCGATTATTCGGAAATTCTTCAATTAAATATTTATATTAGAAAATAAAAACTTCAAATTATTTAAAGAAAAATTAAATTAAACTTTTCCAAAAAAATTAATTCTTCAGAATTATCAGTTAAAAAAACAAAAGTATAGAAAATTCAAATTTTCAAATATTTTAGTTTGAAATTGAAACCTTTTCAAAATTATTCAATTATTTAATTACAAAAGTAAATAAATTCATTGAATAATTGAATGTTTTTAAAATTTAATTCTTCTAAAGAATTTTATCAACAAATTTTTAATTAATTAAACTTTTGACGAATTTTAATCAAATTTTTAAGAATAAATACACTTTTCGAGGAATTCGATTAAAATTGTACTAAAAATAATTAAAATTCTGCGTTGAGCTTTATTATTTATGAAAATAATTGAATGTTTGAGTACAATTTTATTAAAATTTTTTTTTGTAATAATTAAATTTTGGAGAAGAATTTTGTTATTTATCAAGGTAATTGTGATTTTGACCAGAATTTTTTTTAAATTTTGAACATAATTGAACTTTATAAGAAGAATTTTATTACTTTTGAAAATAATTGAATTTCTGCAATTATTTGTAACTTCTCAAAAAATCAATTTTTAAAAATGTTTTTAACTAAAATTTTTCTATAAAACTATTATTTTTAATACAGTTAATTGAATATTTATTGAAAAATTTAACTAATTTCAAGTTGAATTTAAATATTATTAACATTTTGCAAAAATTTAAGTTAAAATTAATTAAAATTAAATTAAATTTCTAATTAAATTCATTAAAAATTAAAATTTTATAAAATTTCAAATTAAAACCTTTTGAAAAGTTGATCTATTTATGAAAATTGTAAACGCAACTCATAAGATTGAATTAATTTTTTAATATATTTTAGTAAAATTATTCATTAAATAAAAGAAAAAAATTTTTTTTTTTAAATATAAATATAAATAAAATATAAAATATAAATATAAATATAAATATATAAAATATTAATATAATATAAAATTTTAAAATTTTTATATTATTATTATTGTTATAATAATAATAATTTATATTTCAATTTATATTTTATTTTTATGAAAAAACATTTAAATTAAAAATTTTCAATTCGATATTTTTTTAAATTGATAATTTTATTTTAAAAAGTACGTAAAAAGTTAGAATTGTTGCTATAGTAATTAATAAAGAATAAGTAATTATTTAGAATATTGAAATTATTAATAAACAAATAATTAATCATAACTAATAATAATCACGAAAATGGATTTATTTCAAAAATTTTTTCTCTCAGCAAAAATGTAAATAAATTGAACCGAAAAAAAAATTGTCATTTCTATTTAATAGAAGATATTTTCCAGTATCTGTTGTATTTCTTAAATAAATAATCATTGACATTTCGATTCGCGAAATTCAATCATTGTTTCTTTTTATACAACAAAAATAATTTGCAATTTCTTTATATACCTTTCAATATGTGTATATATTTCAAAATATAATATGGATATAAAATGTTCAATCTTTCTCTTAATATTTCTTTTTTGTCCTCATAGATTCTTTTTCATTCATTTCAACTCATCCTCTCTTTCTCTCTCGAATTTATAAAAAATCGGTGGGTGAAATTGGAACATATCCCAGTGATATAAATTAAAAATCACTTCGTTTATCGAATTTCTTGATGGCCATTTAAATTGAAAATGTATTTTCATCCGAAAAAGGATGATCCACCCACGACTATTTTTTTCCATTATATTCTGTTAGGAGACACTCACACTGAGTGATATATAAATATTATTATTTTATTTTCTTCGTTTTTTTTTTTTTTTGTAACTGAGACAATAAATTTTTTCGCATATAATATATATAAAATGGCAAAGAGCACTTTCTCTGAATTTATCTTTGGGGTGCGCGCATTTTTTAAAAATTGAAGAAGCAATTTAGGAGGGAAATAAAAATTTGGTCGTAAATAATGAAATTAATTTTTATTGTCAAATTGTTATTATACTATTATCTTTATTGTTTTTTTTTATTTTTTATTATTTTTATTTTCTATTATTTTTCTTTTATTATTATTATTATTAATTTATTTATTAATTTATTTTTAAAATCTATTATTAATTTATTATTATTATTTATAATTTATTGTTATTCAGTATTATTAGTATTTAAATATATTTATTTATTATTTATTATTGCTAAGTAAATAAATAAATCACCATGATTAAGAATACCCCTATAATATTATTAACAAACTAAAAAATTTGTTATTAAATTTATAACGAAATTAGAAATAATTTGCGTTTTTAACGAATAAAAAAAAACATTGAAAATGAATTAAAAAATATGTTCCATGTTTATGACATTTTAACATTTTACCTTTAACTTTTGAAATATTTGCTTATCTACTTATTTACTGGAAAGTAAATACATTATCATTATTATTTCGATTATCAAATATTGCTGTAGGAAATGTTTTCTTGGCAAAAAGAAATTAATAAATTTTCAATTAAAATAAATAATTCACAAATTTGTTAAATATATGATATGAGAATTCCACGTGTAGAAATTCCCAAGTTATTAAACTTTTAAAACTATGTAGGTATAATACCAACAATAAATTCAGTTATGTAAACTATGAAATGAAGTATAAAAATAAATTCAAATTAAATTCTTTTTTTTAATTGTAATATTAAATTTAAATTAATTTGTCAATTACAATATGTTTATTATTATTACTTAATTAAATAGAGAAATAGAAAATACGAGTAATAAAAAGAAAATATATAAAGGCCTCGCACTCATCTACTAAAATCTAATATTTACTAGATACTTTTTTTACGATTTC